TTTATATACGTAGTGTCCACCTTAAATTACAGACTAAAAGATGTTAGTGTCATTAAGGGTACGTATACACTGCCATACTATTTCAAAATAACTAGTGCTATTCCAAATTTAGTCCGCATCTACACAGCAGGCCATTATTTCAAAATAGTATCAAAATACTGTCAAGCTTGAGGACTTCTTAACTCTGATTCCTGTAAATCTTATTGTACTCAGGGAACTCAGAGGAAGAGTGCTCTATTTTGAAATAAGTGCTGCGTAGATGCTCCCTATTTCGAAATAAGCTATTTCGAAATAAGGCACACAATTGACGTAGCTCAATTTGTGCAGCTTATTTCAAGTTAAGCCCTGTAGTGTAGAAGCACCGTAAATTAAGTGTTTTAATCTTCCATTCTCAAGGTATTTCTAACTGTGTAAAAGCACTTAGAAGATTGCTGCATTACAGAACTTGTCACCATCATTCCAAAATAATCCTATTCACCCAATGAGATTGTAAACAGTATATTTACCAAACTCATCAGGACAAAGAAACATTCCAAATGTAGGGTCTGGTGGAACATCCATAGTTTCTGCTGTTCTGCCAGCGAAAAGACGGGTGCTAATTATATGTGCAATTACTCAAGATGCGAGAAGTCATTCTTCCGCTTTATTCTGTGCTGATTAGGCTTGAATTGGAGTATTGTGTCCAGTTCTTGGCACCACATTTCAAGAAAGACATGGAAAAATTGGAGGTTCAGAAAAGAGCAACAAAAATTATTAAAGGTCTAGAAAACATGTCCTATGAAGGAAGACTGAAAGAATTGGGCTTGTTTAGTTTGGAAAGGAGAAGACTGAGAGGGGACATAATAGTGGTTTTTGAGTATCTAAAAGGGTGTCACAAGGAGGATGGAGAAAAATTGTTCTCCTTGGCCTCTGATGATAGGACAAGAAGCAATGGGCTTAAATTGCAGCAAGGGAGGTTTAGGTTGGACATTAGGAAAAAGTTCCTAACTGTCAGGATGGTGAAACGCTGGAATAAATTGCCTAGGGAGGTTGTGGGATCTCCATTACTGGAGTTATTTAAGAGGTGGTTAGATAGATGCCTGTTAGGGATGGTCTAGATCAGGGCTACTCAACTTTGGAAGCTCCAGGGGCCACAATAATACAGCACATGCTGAGGGCTGCAACTTAAGTGTACATGCAAGTAGCTTCTTTCACACTGATGAGCATGAATACAAAGATTAAGGCAAGACTACACAACACAGGCCCCATTTAAGTCAGTTCTGCTGATATTAAGAACATGCAATAGTTACCCTATTTCCACCCGTATGACATCACTTTTCATGAGCAATGACAGTCCAGGAATTTAACTACTAAACCGCATGTCAATGGAAGACCATTCTATTGACTACATTTTTGTTTTGGCTTCACAACAGTCCAGAAATTGAACTACTAAACACATATCAACCCAAACTGCACTGTAAACCCAAACTGCACTTCAGGCTGCAAAGAAACGAGCCACAGGCCGCATGTTGAGTAGCCCTGGTCTAGACTGTGTTTGGCCCTGCCATGAGGGCAGGGGACTGGACTTGATGACCACCCAAGGTCCCTTCCAGTTCTAGGGTTCTAGGATCCTACTGATCCAATCATACTGCATTCGAACTGTGAAAAATTAACCGCTCATCTCTCTGCCCAGCTCTCTAACCAAAGTAAAAGGAAAGCTGCAAAAGTTGTTCAGCAGATTCCACCCTGTTCACAGGGATTTTCTCGCATCAATCAATGCTGCCATTACTAGGCCAGTGGTGGGAGGGGTGGATCTATGTGTACTTGGTCTAAACCTGATGCTCTTCCCAACTTCATCTTCTGAAGGGCTGCTGCCACTTCTTCACAGAGCACATAAGGTTCAGGGGTGACGGAGCCCAGGTATAATGGCTCCACTGTTGTTGCTGATGAAAATAGCTCACTATAAAAGAACAGGCAAATTTGTTCCATTTCACATCTGTTTGTCATTTTACTACTGTTTTTGTCAACAAACGTGCTTGGAAGAGTTTGGCTTAACTGGATTTCACATTGAGTTCTTTGCAAACTCGTTTTCTCTTCAACTGCCATTTGCTTTTTCGCAAGCCGATACTGCTCATAATCATCTATCATCTTTTTTCTCAACATTTTATAGACGAACTTATACTCCAGGCTGGTATTGCCCTTGGCTGCCATGTCTCTCTGCTTGGCAAGAAGATCAAGTGTTTGCTGGGCAATATGATTCCTGGATTTCTATGGCTTCTTCACAGTGGCAGCAGTTTTACGTTTGTCCAACTTCACCAAAAAATGATAGTAATTGGAATCAATATATTTCATTCCAGCCATTTCCTATGACTCAGAGTCAACAGCATACTTAAACCGACCTGAGCAGAACTATTGTCCCCACATGCAATGTCTAACACTGATAAGGACATTAATATTTCTAGAACAAAATTTTCCAGAGAATCGTGGGGTGGGGGTTTTTGTTTTTAACAATTTGAGAGAAAAGAAAATTCTAGGATTTTTCCCTGTGGAACACAAATCCTGAGTTTTGACTAGCTCTAGTGTTAATGATTTATAGCAGACTGTTTATTTCAGATTAGAATGTAGGAAATTATTGGCAGTGTAATGGTCCACCGAGTCCAAGTACAGGGGAGAGATAATAAAATATTTGATGGTGAACAACTAGATTATGAAAATTAGGTAAGTAGGCAACCTGGACTAAGGAGAATGTAGCACTTTAAAGACTAACAAGATGGTTTATTAGATGATGAGCTTTCGTGGGCCAGACCCACTTCCTCAGATCAAATAGTGGAAGAAAGTAGTCACAACCATATATACCAAAGGATACAATTAAAAAAAAGAACAAATATGAAAAGGACAAATCACATTGCAGAACAGGAGGGGGATGCGGTGGGGGGGAGGGGGAAGGAAGGTAAGTGTCTGTGAATTGATGATATTAGAGGTAGGGAGAGGGGGATGTTTGTGAGTTAATGGTATTAGAGGTGATAATTGGGGAAACTATCTTGGTAATGGGTGAGATAGTTCAAGTGTTTGTTGAGTCCTTTTTGGAAAGTGTCGAATTTTAACATGAATGACAGTTCAGAGGATTCCCTTTCAAGTGCAGATGGGCATTCAGGGCACCACCAAAATTCCTACCCATCTGCCACCCTTGCAAGCTGCTACCCAAGACTGTGGCGACTCAGGCAGGGCTGCAAAAGCTGGCTGTGTCCAATTCCCACCCCAGGCCAGGCACATGCTCGTCGGCAGGAGAGCTGCAGAGATGGGGCCAGGAGGGAGTGCCCTGAGAGGAAGGGCAGCAAGAAGTGTACATGGTAAACCTGCCAGCCAAGAGTCACAGGGGCCCAGAGAATGACATGCTTGTGGGTCCCATGGTGTAAGGGGCTGTACTCAGGGCATTGAATCCTGCTATCGGAGTACAGATCTGAGTGGGATCTTCTGGGGAGAAGTTTGGTGGCAAACCCTGGGTAACCAAAATGCTCGGCTTCCTTAACTGCCCCAGAGTGAGGTTTTTCCCCTCTCTTGGGTGACTGATGCCCAATAGAGTTAGCTGTTTGGCCCAGCTGGTTCTGTGGGGTGGCTGCTGTATGTTGGGGTCCTCGTCTTTAACAGCCTGGCTAGAGATTGAGGGGGGATGAGTTTGTATCTTGCACTGCTTCACCTGATGCCCACACGTTTGGTTCCTGTATCGGCTGCTGCCAGGCTCTTCCTCTTGCCCCCAGGCTGTTTCAAGGAAGGAGCAGCAGAGCCAGACTTAATAGTCAGGGCAGAGTCACAGACTAGAGCCTGATCCACCTTCCTCCTCTGGGCATGTCAAGCAATGGCAGGTGAGACTGGCAGGTATCCCGGAAAAACATGCCAGTCTAGACGTACGCTGAGGGTCACAGCCCAGCCCCTTGAAAAACACTCCCTAAGAGCTAAAAGGGTTCTAGGTTTAAATTTGTAACCCTCCATATGCAGAAGGGGGAATAACAATCTGACCCATCCCCCCCGCATTCCAGCTGCCCCCATCTCCTCCTGCCATTTTGTCTCCTCGGGCCAGTCCTGAGCCTATAACCCCAGTGGGGCTGGTGCTGCTGGGGGGAAATACGAGCCAGGGCTCCATGTTGGGGTTTGTGTGACTCTGGGGGAGGCGCGTTGGGGCTTGGCACACAGAGCTGCACATGCTGAAATCCCCAGTGAGCCGCGACCTGCTTCTCGGCCCAGGTTCTGAGCCGCCGGGCTCTCTGCAAATGTTCCTACCTACACGTTTGCTGCCGTGGGGCTAGATCCCGACACAGGAAGTACCCTGGCACCTTTGGCCTCAACCCCCAGCCAGTCTCTGGGGCCTCGCTCGGTTCTGCCACTGGCAGGAGACATTAATTGTAGGCGTCGGGGGGGTTTCTTTGGTGCAAACTTTATTATTTACAAACAACGTTGGCACATTCCTGTGCCCTGAACAGGGTAGAAACAAAAAGCAGCCGGCAGCTCCCTTTCCCAGAGCCCCACCTTTGTGTGGGCAGGGAGCCCTGTGCTCTAGTAGCGACTGGAGCGTAGGCGCACGGCTTTATTCTTCCTGTGTCCCGGTTGACATATGAAAATTAGGTTGGCCTGGCGACATTCCTCCCAGCTGTGAAAACTTTAATTACGGCCTCTCCCAGAGGCAGATTTACTGCGCAGATAGGAAAGCCCTTTCTATGGGGTCTGCGTTAGCCCCTCATTTCTACTGTGGTATCGGAGTGAACGCATAATCCGTGGTCCCCGGGTCTCCCTCTTCCAGGCGCCCTGCGGGTGCAGAGCCTTCAGCTTCTCCCCAAACCCCAATTCATTAGCTAAAGTGGAGACGAGTCCTGTGGCACCTTATAGACTAACTGTAGTGTTGGGGCATAAGCTTTCGTGGGCAAAGACACACTTCATCACATGCATGTAGTGGAAATTTCCAGAGGCAGGTATAAATATGAAGGCCAGGATCAGGCTGGAGATGAGGTGGATCCAATCAGGGAGGATGAGGCCCACTTCTAGTAGCTGACCTGGAAGTGTGAATTCCAAGAGAGGAGAAGCTGCTTTTGTAGTTAGCGAGCCATTCACAGTCTTTGTTTAATCCTGAGTTGATTGTGTCAAACTTGAAGATGAACTGTAATTAGCCGTGGCTCTGCCACCCCACAGCTGCCTGGCCCCACATCTGCCCCTGTGGCTCCTGGCTCTGTGTGGGGGGGAGAGGCAAGGGCTGCCCAGAGCTGAGACCTGCAGCTGCCTCCAGGGTCGTCACCGAGACAGCAAGACAGCCAGTGCACAGGGAGACGAGACAGAGACTGGGGGGTGTGAGGCCAGAG